CGACGGCGACGGCGACGGCGGTGCCCGAGATGGGCGCGCGGGAGCGCAGGCCCAGACCGCGGCTGGCCCATTCGAGCGGCTCCGAGCCGTTGCCGATTCGAACGTCGCATCGTCCCCGGGGTCGCTTCGAGATGAGCTGGCACCTGTGAAGGCGGAGGGTGAGCGGCCTGGGATCGACGTTGCATCCGCGCGGGCCAACTCAGGGCGATCCTTTTCACACAATCACAACCATGTGGCACGGCAATGTTAGTAATAGGTAGGATGGCAATCAATTACAAGGCCCAGCTAGACGGGCCCGAACACGAACAGATGCAAGACCAAGAAAAACCCAGTAAACCCAGTACGCCGCGCGAACACCGCACTGCCCCGACCCGAGGTAGATTGGTGGTAAGGTAGAAATGTACAAGACGAAGGCCCAGTGCGCCTCTAGGCTCCGGTAACCACGCCAACACCAGCAGGCAAGCCGGAACGCTATCGGAGTGTAAAGCAAAGAGAAAAGGGATTCATGTATTCGTCTGTTTCGTGAGGTTTCTGGTGGTGGTGGTGGTGATGGTGGTGGTTTGTCGCCAGGTGGACGTCGGCGGCATGGTTGATGTTTGGTTCGAGTGGTGGTGGTAGTGGTGGTGGTGGACCACCCGGGCGAAGCTGCTCGCGTGAGGTGGCCGCTTGTGCGGGAGGAAGGACGGTTGCGTCGGGGGCATTGGGCTATTAGACGCCACGGATGACCTGCGTGCGCTCGGATTGCAGCTGGGCTGCGTTGCGCTCGTGTGACTGCTTCTTGCACTGGGAGAGAGAAAAAAAATGACAGTTAGCATCTCCATCGTCGTCAGGGTCACATGGCGGCCGCGAGACCACCTGGGGAGGTTCTGTCACTTACGTCCTCGAGGCCGCTACACTTGTGGTCCTCTAACAGGCGGTGGTTGCCGCAGTAGTGACCCTTGCAGAAGCTGCAGTCGCCGACGATGCGCTGGGCGGGCTCCTTGCAGTCCTTGGCGTTGCAGCGAATCTTCTTGGGCGCCATAGTAGCGGTGGTGGTGGTGGTGGTGGTGGTGGGAGCGGTGGACAAGGTGTTGTAGTCGGTGACGGGGGACGAGGCTCGCTGCGATAACGGCGCTGTGGTGGTCGGACCGAGATCAGGCAGGAGGGAGAAAGGGCGGAAGGCGAGAGGGGCGAGGGCGGCTTTTTATCGACGCGGTCTGATCGGGCGGACGCAGTCGTGCTTGATTGTTATTCAGGAACAAAGTTTGGTTCTGCGAAAAGACAGCAGGATGGTGACAAAGAGAGGGCGTCAATGAGATTCCGGGAGGGAAGGCAGAAGAGGCGAGTGCGTCAGCGGAGGCGCCGGCGCTTTATAGGGAGGGAAGGCTGAAAGGCACGGACGAGGCGAGGCGCCGGGCTGGCGCTGCTGGCGTGCTGGCGCGACGAACGAGGGTCGGGGTGGCAGTTGGCTGAATCAGGACAGGCGGGCTAGCGCCCAGCGGCCGGTGGAGCCGCAGCCCGGGGGCCCGTTCGCCTCCCAGCAGATCCACGAGGTGGATGCCCGCCAGCCCGCCCGCCCGCCCGCCCGGGCAGCACAGCGCAGCACAGCTTGCCGGGCAGTGCCCGCACCGCCAGCTCTCAGGGGAGAACCAGCGATCAGCCAAGGTCGCCGGGCGGGTAGGTAGGGACGGGAGGCATGTACCTCCGTACCGGCCTGCGGGCACGCCAGCTTGGCCCAGCCGGTCACTGCTGACAGGCCCGAGGGGGGCCACTGAGTAATTGATGGCGCAAGGCCACCCGGGCGGTCACGAGACAATCGAAGCGCCTGGAATCACGCCGGAGCGTCCAGTCCATCAATGCCCGACTGATGATCCTTTTCACTGTCGCGCCAGAAGCAGCCTCGCAACGGCTCCCGCGGGAGAGAGCATGCCACGCACACACCTGTCACAAAGGGCAGCCAAAACGGCCTCGATGAATCAGCAACCTACAGCCAGAGGGGGTGGCCAGCACCGCCAGCAGCACCTTTTCATGCGTTTTTAAGCTGCCTTGTTTATTATGCCTGCGGGGACGAACGTCGCTCGTCGTCCAGGGTGCCGCCCTCCCTATACGTACCTAGCACACGAGATGCCGCGTTCGAGGCCGGCATGCATGAGAGATGCCCCTGGCTCTGGCTCCGACCGTCTGCCCGCACCGTCTCGCCGCGGCCAACGAGCGATGCGCGCCCGGGGTGCAGATTGTGCCTTGGGCACGCTCATGCTCGTGCTCGTGCTCGTGCTCGGGGGCCCGCCGCTGCGTCGAGCCATTAAGCCTCGGCCGGTCTGCGGTACGGGCACAGCACAGTGCCATGTGCGGTACGGGACTGAGAGGAGTAAAGCCTGCGCTACTATAATGCCGAGCGGTGCAACTCAGTCTCGTCACTCAGCCATCAGTCACTCACGCACACATGCCCCGTCGTCTCCGCCGTCTCCGCCGCCGCCGACGCCGCCGCCATCGCCGGGGGATTGCGCACCATGGCCCCGGCAGCTTGCGAGCTCCGAAAGCGGGTGGCGGTGACGTCGTGGCGCCCACTCCGGCCGGGTGGAATGACAGTCATCAGGCTGGGCCTTCCTTGGTCGGGTCCAGCTAGAGCGACCCAGGCCACCTCAGGTCCAGCGAGCTTGCCAGCCGTCCAGCCAGCGGGCCAGCCCAGCGAGGTAGGTGGTGCTAGTGGTGCCGGTGGTGGTTCACTTCAGCCAGCGTCGTCCGAGGCCCCGTCGTCCGTTCCAGGTCACCCAACGGCGGACGCCGACACGGCCGGCGACTCTCCGAGGCTACCTTGCTTCGCACAACGGGTACTAGGTAGATTACAGTCCCTCGGTGAGGTGTCCAAGCGAGCAACTACGGCTCGTCAATGGCACGACGGCGTGGCAGATGATGGATGGGCATACTCGTATGGGCATGCAGTGGCATGTGGGCAGACGGGTGGTACCTCGACTTATCTACCCCTTGGAGCAAGCGGGAGGGTTCCAGGTAGTCTTTAGTTACTGGTCGCATTTGTTGGGCAGCGGCGCACTGGCGGTCAGGTCCGTCCAAACACCCACCCACCCATCCATCCATCCATCCATCCAGCCATCCATCCCCATCCCACGGCATGGATGCCCCCTTCTCCCATCGCCGTCCGGCCTTTGCCCCAGCCAGCGACCCTGCGCAGGGGCAGCTGGCGGTCACTCCCAACCCAGTCCCTCTGCTGTGGCACGCCGCGCACGCCCCGTTGAGTCGCCGACAGGCGCCGCAGCCGCACGTCGCGAGACATCGACTGCGCATCTCGTCCCATCGGTCGGCTCAATCTTCACCGCGGATGCGCACATGTACCAAGCAAGAGGTGAGCTGGCTTGCATGACGGAGCCCCGGGGGTGGTCACCACGGCGGCGAACGGCGACGGCGACGGCGACGGCGGCCATCCCGCCAAGCATGCCACTCACGCCGGCGCATGAAGCCACGATCTCCCATACGAAGTGAGGGAGGTAAGGAATTACGAGTACGGCATGAAGGCCCGGACTATGCAGTAGGTTACTAGGTAGTTACTCGTACGGAGTACATGCCACGTCCGTCCGTCCCGTATCTGCTGGGTTGCCTCGTCGTGACTCGAGCGTTCGAGGTCCAGCCCGCCCAATTTAGCACCAGACCAAGCATTGGCCGCGCCGTGCTCCAGGCCGGCGGCCCAGACAGACGCCCGTCAGAACCAGCCCGCGGGAGAAGGGGGGGTGGGACAGGGGGGCCGAGATGCACTACGTACGAGTACAGCACCGTATTAAGTTACCGGGTACGAAGAGGCAGTCCGTGGCTAAAGGCCTTCAGAGACACAGCTCGCCGCCCTCGCTGCGCTCGCTGCAGAGGCGCCGATGCGCGAGACCTCGCGACCGCCAAAGTCTCACCTTGCCCACCCGCAGCTGAGCTGGGCGGGCAGGCGGGCACCTCCAAGTCCCGCAGGTGCCGTCTGGCATCCGGCGCCTGGAGTGGGGCCTCAGCGCCCGTCAGCCGCTGCTGCGCTGTCCATGCGACCCGCCGAAGGCTCGGCATTTGGGCCGCGTGCAGCTGGGAGGAACGCGGAGCGCCGGGCGGCTCCTCTTGTCTGTAGGAATGGCGCGTGTGCGAAGTTCTCCGGAGCGTGTCTCAACCGGTTCAGCTCGTCCATCCCGTGGTTCAGACGGCGTCGTCATCCTGTCGCTAGACTTTCCGCTCCTGAACTCCCCAATCGCACCGTCGGTTCCGGCCACGCCAAGGGTTGAAAGCGCAACGCAAGATGCGGAGGCAGCTTCCGCCATGATCAATGATGATGAGCGATGTGAGTCACGCAACGCAGGTTTTGCACCACGTCCGCCACGAAACCGTGCAATGTCCCAATACAAAGTCAATTGCCTGCAACAGCATTTCATTCATTTGGTCACGGAATTCGATTCATCCCCACGTCGAAGCTGCATGTGCGGTGCTCGGGAACAGCAATCGCTCATCTGGATGCGCCCGCTACCCTGCACCACGAAATCCAACCGAACCTGATGGCACCGACACTCATTCATCACTCGCACTCAGGGTTGACCTCCGTGTCAGTCCAGTTGTCCTCTCTCCTCTCTGATTTGTTACGATTGACGTGCCATGCGAAGAGCAAAGACCTGAGAGGAGAAAGTGCCAGTCATCAATCAATGCGATGCAACAACCGTGTAACTAACCATGGGCAGGCCAGCTAAGTTGCTGAGTGGGGGCGAGCATTGGAGGGAAAAAAAAAAAACAAAAAAAACAGAGACCGTCAGAGGAGAGAGACATCCACTGCGAGTGCCAGCAAAAACGAAAGCCAAAAAGTGACGTTCAACGACATGCCAAAAAATGAAATCAAGCTTGCCGTAACGAGGAATCGAACCTCGGTTTCCAGTGTTTCACTGGGTGAGTCCACAAACTGATGTCCTAACCACTAGACGATTACGGCTAAACAAGCTTTGACACATCTGATTCGCCGCTCTCCCAAGAGAGAGTGGAAAAATAAGACTTGCCGTAACGAGGAATCGAACCTCGGTTTCCAGTGTTTTCAACTGGGATTGGCCACAAACTGATGTCCTAACCACTAGACGATTACGGCTTATTGCGTCTTTGTTGAAGAACCGGGGGCTTATTCCCCCTTAAGTAGGTGGTGGACGGGGCGGTGGCGGTCGTGGCTGATGGCGGTGTGGGGCTGACGTCTCGCCCGCCTGCGTGAGTGGGGCGGCATCGGCTTGCGCTGCGGACGCGCGGGGCCGGGCAAGCCAGGCTTGTGACAAGCAAGCAGGGAGCTCCTTCCCTCGCTCGTGGACATGCACAACAGAGGCGTGGCCGGCGCCCAAGTCGGATCGTTTGGGCTTGGCGTAGGCTTCATTCAGTCCAGGCTGGCCTTCAAGCTGTTGGCTGCTCGTCGTGTCTTTTTTTACCCCATCGAGAGTCATTGCAAAGGCATGGCTGGCATTCTCGTCGATGTCGGGTGCAGTCCGGACGCTGCCTGCCTCTCCTCCGTGACCTGGCATTACTCGTTCCACCCCTGGCCCCCTCCGCCCTCCCGCTCAACGGTTCGAGCGTGCGTTGTTCTCGGCGTCGCAACCGGCAAGCAGCGCGACCCGTCCATCATTAATATCGCGTGCATCGATCCCCCGTATTCCTACCCCGGACACGGAACCTGTTCCGCCGTGGTGGGCGCCCTACCCGTGGATGCCTCGGCTGCGATGGGGACGCCACTAGAGCCAGGCGGCACCATGCGCGGAACGCCCTCCGCTAGCTCCAGTTGCCCATGGGGAAGCCAGTGGTACATATGGGTGTGCTCGAGCAGTCGCCTGGGCGTCAGACTCGCACGGCCGTCATCCTGATATCTGACACGAGGCCATGATGGAGTCTTCTGGCGCGGACAAGGGCTTCTTTCAGAAGAAGCCGGTTCTTCATAACCAGTTTTACGACGATGCCTCCTTTCAGCGGTGCTTCAAATGTGAGTTGGCGTCCCTGGTAGCCGGACTTACAGACTGACGGTCCAGTCTTCCTGCCCGCTCATGTGAGGGCCAAGAGCGAGGCCGATGTTGCCGCGTTGGGCCATGATGTCCTTACGGACCAGATTTTCGCCTGGATCACCGACGCGGAGCGTAACCAGCCATACGTCAGGGGCAGCGGTCGTGATGTATTCGGCCAGCGAGACAGCGAGCTGATCTGCACCGAAGGATGGAGAGAGCTTCAGAACTTTGGCATCACCAAGGGGTAAGTTCGCCTTGTAGTAGTGGAACGGACTACGCTGACAGACCGGCCAGTTTGGTGGCTACCGGTTATGACACACCATACGGAGCGTTTGCCCGACCTCTTCAATTCCTCCGGTCCCACCTATGGGTTGCTTCTTGCGCCAACGTTGGTTGTCCCTCAGCCATGCAGGACGGCGCTGCGTGCCTGCTCAAGAAGCACCTCACCTCTCCCAAGCTTTCCGCTCAGTTGTCGCCCGAGCAGCGCAGGGTGTTTGAGGATGCCTATCGACGACTTACATCCCGCGACCCCTCCGTTGCATGGACCAGCGGCCAGTGGATGACGGAACGGCCTGGTGGCAGCGACGTATCCCGGACTGAGACGACTGCTGTCCACCAGCCCAGTAATGTCGGCCTCGCATCCAAGCAGCAGCAGCTTCCCCTTGGCCCGTGGAGTATCAACGGCTTCAAGTGGTTCTCGAGCGCGACCGACTCCCGCATGACTGTATTGCTGGCCCAGACTCAGAGCGGGTTGTCTGCATTCATGGCTCCAATGCGAAAACACGATCCTACGGCCACAACAATGACTGGACAAACCCTCGATGATGGCGAATGTCTCAACGGGGTCCAAATCTCGCGCCTTAAAAGCAAATTTGGCACGCAATCATTGCCTACTGCCGAGCTCGTGCTTGAAGATATGCGTGGCTGGCTCGTGGGTCAAGAGGGCCGGGGCATTCACGAGATCACCTCCATTCTCAATCTGACAAGAATCCATTCGGCAGTCAGTGCCGTGGGTAGCATCGGTCGTGGTTTGGGTGTTGCGAGAGCCTATACGCTCGTCCGAGAGATAGGGGCTGGCAAGGGGGCACGCATCAGGCTGGTCCAGAGCTCGCTGCACATGCGAACTCTGGCCAAGATGACCAGTGAGTATCACGGTCTGATGCTCCTCAGTTTCTTCGCGTCGTACACATTGGGCATCACGGAGAACCCAGGCGACAAGCCCGCCTCGCCCGCTCTTGCGGCTCTCACTCCTGACGCCAAGCTCACCGAGCCTCTGCTGCGCGTCTTGACACAACTCACCAAGGCCTACGTCTGCAAGGCGTCCATCCCGCTGATGTTTGCCTGCATGGAGGCACTTGGCGGAGTAGGCTACTTATGGAACGCAGAGGCCGAGTACATGAACCTTGGCCGAGTGTTCCGTGACATGAGTGTCGGAGCCATCTGGGAGGGTACGACGGACGTGCTGTGCACCGACTTTGTCAGGGCGCTCAAGCATCCCAAGGGCGGTGCAGACTCCTTGGCTGCGCTAGAAGAGGTTATCAAGAAGGGCAGCGCGTTCCAGGGCAAGCTGCCGAAGCCGGGTGGCTGGGACCCGGTGGCGAGGTGGAACGAGGTCAAGGCACGGTTTGGAGACTCGCAAGCAGATCTTATGGGCGAGGGCAGAGAGCTCCTCTGGGCGGTCGCCGACATTCTGGTTTCGGTGCTACTGTACGTCGATGCCGCCACGGACGGCAACGCGGCAACGACCGACATCTTCCACCGCTTCCTTGAGGGCAAATATGGCGTGGCAAGGTCAAAGGGAAGCCCCAAGGAAGAGCTGGACAAGGACTTGGCCATCGTGTACGGCAAGGACGGGGTGGCAGCCAAGTTGTGATTTGCACTCCTAGTGGTATTTGCAGACTAACGCGACAAGAACAAGCCCCATTTCTCTCATGCCCCAAGAACCCTTTAGTTCTTAGTCTAGCCAGTGAATCCAGGGCATGTTCCTGTGAGACTCTTGGCCACGAACTGCAGAGTTCGGCAACCAGCCTCCGACCTGGCGGCGCCGTAGACCATCTCGCCGGCTCCGTGAGGGTTGGGGCACGCCTTGTAGTCGAGACCACCGTTCACAGAAAGCAATGTGTGGCCGTCGGGGCCCGCTTGCAGTGTGTACTGGTCCCGTCCCGGCGTCGGGTCGAGGCAGCTGAAACGAGAGTCGGGAGCGGCCTCGATGCAGGCGTTGTCGCCGTTGCCGTACAGGATCTTCTTCGGAGAGGAAAGGTCGAGGCAGAACCAGCCGTCGGGGCGGCCCGACACACCCAGAATGACATTTCCCAGCAAGTCTCCGACGTCGAATTGCGCGGGACTGCCGCTGCCAGCCTCGGCGATGGTGAAGCAGCAAAGGCTGGGGGGGCCCCAATTGTCGCGCGGGGCGACGGCCGCGGCCGAGACGGCGGTGGCAACGAGGGAAAGCATGGTGAGGGCCTCGGCCAGCATCTTGAATGTCCTGGAAAAGGGTATGTGCTTGACTAGCTTGGACTGTCACGAAGATGGGATCTAAGAGGGTGAATGGCGGACCGATGGGTCAAGCAAGAGCCCTACGAAGGCAGCTTTGGCTCGTTATATACCAGACCCTCGCTTGAAGGAGTGATTCACAGCATCCTTAGGAAGACCCTCCACGAGTTGGTCCTTCTGCTCACCACTGGCCGAGACATATCTTCGTGCACGTTGGCTGCACCTTTTCATCCCTCCGGGCTACAGGCAGGCAGCATTCGGTTTCCAGAAGAGGCAAAGGGCCGCGGTTCTCGTCACACAGAACCAGAGTCTCGGACGGGGACTCGCCGCAGGTCTCGAAAGGGCAATGCGCAGGTGGACAAAGGGCCCCCCATGGGCGGGCGCGTGTAAGCGCTGTGTCGGCTTGCCCTCACGCGGTGAGCGTGTGAGAGTGCCTGCATGCGACACCACGGGGGCTGCCGCAACGGACGTCGTTGGGACGAAATCGATGGCGCCAGGCGCCCCTTTGTAGTGCCTGCACTGGCCTAGACCCGATGCTTCGAGGGAGGCAGCTTGAAGCCCCGGAGATGGTGGACGAGAGGTCTATCGAGGCTTCACACGATCGGCGCGGGCGGACGCCAGGAACAGACGGGAGCCGGGAAGTCGCCCGCCTTGTCCATTGGGGCAGCGGCCAACGGCAGTGGTGGTGCCACTGCTGCAGGGGGCCTTCGGCCGACGTTGATGGGGGCCCAACGACATCAGCTCATAGGCTGCGAGAATCGCCCGCGGGAAGAGGAGTTAGCTGTTTGCAGCTAGCGGGCAGAGAAGAGGAACCTGAAATCTCTCGCATCGGCAGAGGCCGCGGCGCGGGTGACGGTTGTGATAAGGGCGTTCGTTGGTCGGTGGAGGTGACGGGGGACGAGAGGCACGGGACAGGACGGGACGAACCAACCTGGATTGAAGTGCCTGCCGTGGCCGAAACGGGGGGCCGTGATGGTTGTGTTTTAGAGCACGGTCCACTGAGACTCTCATCCCAACTGCTGGAAAGAGGAATAAGCACAGCAGTGAGAGGACCCGGACGCTTCATGTTGGGCGTCACGTGTACCTCGTAGCGCACCCCGCACTGTGACGACGTCGCCAGCCCATCACCCCGCCAGGGCGTTTCGTGCCGCAACTGGCCGCTGGATGTCCGCCCACCAGCCAGCCCTGGAGCATTCCTCCTCGATGGGCTGGAGGCAGCAGCTTGACCGGCAAGTTAGTCATTCTCGCATCCACCCTGGTCGTCATTGACTGGCCCGTCCCTGCCGCCGCGGCGGATACTTGACCTCTTCAGGGCGGGAGAGGCGCATGAAGCTCCTCCAATTGACCCTTCAACGACTTGACACGAGCTCACGCCCGCTCACAACGCCCACGCAGCCCGTTCGTGCACTCCCTCACGGTGGCCCGGAACAGACCGAGGACCCTGGCGCTCACATTCACTTGGCACGGCGCCGACCGAGTCCGAGGATATCCTCCGACCAGACGCGTGGAGCTATAAGTGCTCGCATGCCGGTCCTGCACCGCTGCAGCAGACCATCACAACCACCTCCACCCCCGGGTCGTGTCTTGTGCGACGACGTCCCCCCCCGTCCGACATGGC